ATCATACAATGATGATTTAAGAGGGAATTTATTCATTACTTTTTTTGAAACCTGTATATTTTCCTTGAAAAAAAAAACTTATTACTAGCTGTCTGAAAAATCACTGGTTTAGATCGAAGTCTTTTTTTCCCCTCTACTTTCAGTCTTTCTATAATGCTAGCCTAACTAACCTCATCTTTTACTGTACAGTCTACTTTTTTCTCACATAGACCTAATTCTGACACCAGAATATTCTAGTCACTATTTCTCAAGATGCCAAGGCTAATTCCTGTCCCCATATTATTACTTTTTAAAGATTTATTTTACTTATATATGCATACAAGAACCGGGGTGTAGAACAGAAGTGCACGGGGGTGAATGGACTCACCAGAGACCCAGTGGGGAGCAGAAAAGGCAGATTTAGTAAAATACATTGCTGAGGGGAGTAGCAAGCAACACAGGAGAGGTCTGCTGCACCATGTGAACCAGCTCCCTGGCCGGGGGTCAAGATCATGTCTCAATGGTTGGTGATATCTTAATAGTGTTGAGACTTAACCCCTTGTGCCACCAGGGAGATCCTGACTCCACATTATTGCCAGTAAATATAATGGCCACTGTTATAGCTACCTGGCTGAGCAGTTGCGTGCCTTGTGTCCCATCTCACTGTCACCCACCCACTTACACTTGGTCAGAGCTTAATATCTTGGCTATAAGACTACTTTAAGAAGTTAATATTTACAGTGGAACAGAAACGGGAGAGAGTTGTGATGTTAAAGAGATACTGGCTTCTAGGTCAGCAGGAGCCGCCTGTAATTTGATAGAATGTACAAAAACACCAAAGGCATAAAAGGAGATGGGAGTCTTGGTCATTCCTAGAGCAGAGAGGGGAGAGAGCAGTGTAGCAAAGTCATGTATGTATTGCTTGGAGGAGGAACACCTTGATCTACAGTTTTGTTGGGTTCCAGAAGCAAGCTATTGCCACATGGAGATGGATACATTCATTTATTACAGGCTGATATTGTTAAACATTTATGCCATATTTCTGACTCCCTGGGTTTTGATTTTGTAACCACTATAAGTCTGATTCTTTGACTCCCCTTATGATGTAGCTAGAAAATGCCAACTAGAAACAAATCCACTTAGATATTATATCTGTCCTGTAAGTTAAAAAAAAAATAGCACTCTGAATTCAGACATCACTTCCAAGACATTAAGGGAAGGGAGTCCACCCTGAGACAAGATGAGCTAATAAATCAATCTAGAGACAGACCCCAGAGAGTCAGAACTTGGTAAATTATAGTAAACTTACCAACAGAATGCCATCACATAGAAACTCATGGGGTACCGTTGGGTACTCCAATAAATACCGTTTCCTTTTAACACAAATACCTTTATTCAAGACACCTTCTAATACCTGGTGTCTACAGTGTCTTTCTATATACCCTAAGTTAAAGCAGAAACAAGTGTTCTAAGCACTCACATTAGTTTCTAGCTCTGCTTAATAATAGGCTACTCTCAATGTTACAGACAAAATTTTAATTCTGAAAGCTTAACACAAATAACACTTTTTTCATGAAGACTTTTCAAAGTAGTCTATCCCACTAAGGCTAAAACTGACAATTTTGCACTAAAAATGGATCTGCCAATTGATCTAGTAATTCCACTCCTCGGCATCTACCCCAGAAATTCAAAATACCAATTTAAAAGGAAACTTGTACTCCCATGCTAATGTAGCACTATTTAAAACAGATATTGTAAATTATGAAACAATCTAAGTGTCCCAAAATAAATGAGTGGATCAAGAAGGTGTGGTATATATACATAATAGAATATTACTCAGAGAGCAAAAAGGATCTTTTTGTGGCAACATGGATTTACTGAACTAGAAGGGATAATGCAAAATGAAATAAATCGGAAGGAATAAGATAAATACTGGACGGTGTCACTGATATATGGAGCATAAAGTAACTAAGTCAGATAAAGACTAGCTTAAACACTAACCTTTGATAGCTGACCACAGAACTGAAGCACCAAAATGGGGAGAAAGTGAGGTAGAATAGAAGTAAGAACAATGAGGGAAGGAATAGCAACCAACTGTGGTGGCTGACTACGGGGGAGCTGGTGGTCAGTGCACTGTGGTGGTACTACCTGATAAGGGTATCCAAATCTTACCACAATAAAAAATGAATCAATTAAAAAAATAATAATTTGGTAACCCAGGCAGATAGCAAAATTACTTTTGATTTGTAACTTATTGTGTGCCTTACTAGAGTCATTAAGAATTACTGGAATTTGGTAGATTTCTTTTTCACTAAATAGATATTAACTGGGTTTTAACCCTAGTTTCTCTATGTTGACAGACTACATATGTTGTGAACATGTAATGTAATAAATGCTGAAGTTGGAGCTATTACTTTGTATTTCTGCATAGACAAGTCAGTGGCCTTGGAGATAGCATACTTTAACTACACTATCAGTCTACAGTAGGTAATTCCCTATTTACCAATTCAGAGTAATCTCTCCCAGTAAGAGAGGGATCAATGAAGGACTTATTTTATTTTTGTGAAATATTAAAATTATTTAAATACATTCCTCTGTCCAGGGCATTTATCACTTGTTCCCTATATTATATCTGCTCTTGTTTTATATTTTTTTCTAGGTACTTTAAAGATGTAATTCATCTTTGTATCTCCCACAGGTTTCAGGCAGTGTGCAATACGTAGCAGGCACATAAAAATATAAATCAAGAATATCTTTTCCATTAAGGTTCTCATTTTAAAATATGTACCCCACCTTCTTTAAGGTTTTCATTGACTATCCCAGTCCACAGGTCACTCTTTTGAAGTCCTGTAAGAACTGGCTGCCTATAAACCATTTAATTGCCACCAATATTACCCTAGCATTATCTTTTTACATGTATTTGCATTTGATAGTGATTTTACCTTTCAATATATACCAATAGTACCTAGGCACAGCACACAGAATGTTAATGAATATTAATTAATTCAAGCAATCTTTTTTAAAAAGAGATTCATTAAAGTGTAAGTCAACACTGGCACCTAAATAAAATAAAAATAAAAGATCTTGACTACGGCAATGAAAAACAAAGTCCTACTGTTGAAGGAACAAAGGCTTTGGCTACGTAATAGTTACTAGTAAATTAAATTCTGCTGGAACGCTACAGGTCTCTTTGAATTTCACCAGTTTCCCTTTCACTTTAGGGAGACATAAGAGCAACCACATTCATTTTCTGACAATTCCAATGAAAGCAGAGGCTTTACAGATAAACAATTATTATTATATAAGGATCATAGTCAATTGTTAGTTTTTCCAGCTGGAGATATTTATATAGATTCATAGGTATATATTTATAGAGTCTGTCTGCAGTAGCTAACATTTTGCTGTGAGCCAAATTTATGGTTTCCTCTTCCCTAATGAACTAAAAGCAAAAGAGCATTCTTTGAATCTCACTTCTTTTGTATCCTTCCGCAACTAATAACTACATCCACAGCAGGCATTTAATAAATAACACCAGAATGGCCTTCATGCTTTCATTTTATTTTACATATCTTTATGATAATTAATGGAATAGCACAGATTTTGCACTTGATTTAAATATATGTAAATTATTCAAATCAACTGCAAATACAACACAAATATGAATTATCAATTCAAATGCAATAAAGGCATTAGTGCTCCCATTCAGTATTTCATTCAGTGCATTCTAGACTTGCCACCAAAGTGTGATCCTTAGACCAACAGCACTGGTTATCACATGGGGCCCCACCCCAAGCCTCCTAATTCAGATTCTGCATTTTAACATGCCCGGGCATTTAAGATTTGAGTAGCACTGGTGTAAACTCGAAAGAAAGAATTAGAAGGTCCAAATGGATATGGCCAAGTACTACTAACTCATTGTACTTGCTTATATGTTGGTTTTTATCTGCTAACTGAAGGCTTGTTGATGGCAGGTACCCGTCCTAACTTCCTCACCACTGGTATTTCCTGGTGCTAACAGGTCCTGGAACATTACCCAGTACTCAATAAATATTGCTAAATGCATGAATGACAGAACAAAGTAAAACTATCTCAGAAAGCTAATACTTTAGGAAATTCTTTTGTACAGTATTATTTCGCCTACTACCATACTGATTGCTTAATTTAGTATTATTGATTCAATTTAAAATATGTTGTCGTCTCTATTTCAACAGATGTACTTGACAAAGCAAAATCTTGGATCATCTTCCTGTGTTGGACCCACCAGGAGCTTTTACAGGTGAGATAGCTGCATTTTAATTCTGGCTCTCATAGATCCATTCCATATGTTTGCACAAGATGAAATCACCACGACTTGAAGGGGTGGGGAGAGGGTTGGTAAAGGGAAAGCAATTGTCGATCTGAAGCATCATATAACACCTAAAGAACACGAAGTTTCCAGAAAATAACTCCTGGTAAAATAAAGAAATAGGCAAGAGAACCCTTACCTTTCTGAAGAGCAAAAGGTGATACTAGGGAATAAAGGGAGTGATAAAAGACCAGCCACTACCTAGCGACGGAAGATGGAAACACACCAGACCAGAATGAAAGCGGATAGCGGTTAGAAACGTCCAAGAAGGGTGCCAAAAAACCACGTTCAGGTTTGCAGAGCAGGAAGTCAAGGGAGAAGGAAGGGGGGAAAAGAAATAGCTCTATGAAAGGTATTAATTCGCGACGATGATTTTTGTTTTTTGAGATATGACATGCACTTGAAGGGAGGGGTGGGAAGAGGAAGGGAGGTTGCCACTTGACACACTGCAAAAGGAAGAGGCTGCAGACATCCCTAACCAACTCGGGCGGTCTAAGGGCGGCAGACCAGGCAAAGGTAGGTGGCAACGCCCAGCTCCTCCGGCCCTCGCCCCACGGCCCCCGCCCCACGGCCCTCGCCACCTCCTCTGCAGCCTGCAGAGCACAGGGTGGGGACAGAAAAGGGCGGATAATGTGTGGGAGAACGTGCGGGAGGACACAGATGACCAGGTACCCACCTTATCCCAACGGAGCCACTGCCCGATGGCCGTGTCTAGCTGAGGGTCCCCGGTGCGGTAGGGGGCGTGGAGCAGGTTGGAGTTCAGGTCCCCCTCCGCGTTTTCAGCCATGGTAGATTGGGACGTGCGGGTCTGGGGAGCCCGTGAAGACGCCGAGCTGCGGGGAGCAGGGGACTGACGTGCGCTCACCAGGGTCCCGATGCCCCCTCCTCACAGAAGGGCATCGGACACCAACCGCAGAGTGTTAGCGCCAGCTCCCGTCGCAGCTTTGAGGAAGCGGCAAAGAGGGGCGATACGGCCATCCGTTCCCCACCAGATCAACGCCAGGTCTCTGGGCGAAGAGACTGTGGCGATCCCGCCCGAGGAGAACAACAGTCCCAGATGTCTGGGTCCTGGCCGCAGCCGTCGCCGCTCTCGCACACTCAGGCTCCGCCCCGGCGCTGCCGACCCCGCCCCTGCTAATTTAAGCCCCCGGAATTGAGGCGCGAGCGGTGGATTGCAGTCCCGACGCCAGTGGGCGCGCAGCCCTACGAGTTAGAACCCGCCGGGGTGGTGCGGGGTTTTTATTTTTAATCTGCCCTGTGCACTGTGCTTCATTCTTGTTACAATCCCGACGCCTCTCTTTTTCTCGATCAACCGCCACGGCCTGGACGCGCGCCCCCCCGCAGCGCTCACTGAGCGGGTCTACGGCGCGCACTTGCTCCGCCTTTCCCGGTTTTGTGCTTCTAACAGCAGTCTGGAGGGAGGGCGCGCCGGGCTGCAGCCGCTCGGCCTCACGGGAGTTGTAGTTCTTTTCTTTTCCGGAGGCCAGAGGAGACCACTGCTAAGACTACAACTCCCAAGGAGCTCCGTCCCGCACCCCTTTCCTCAAAGGGAAAAGATAAGCCTCGGGGCTGTTGTCTGTGGACACGCTCTGTCCCGGTTAATTGGCGCTGTGTGGGCCAATGTTAAATTAAATTAAACAAGAATTGGTACCGTTTGGGGAACTACTGGTTTCCACGCCTTTTAATGCTCGACAGTTTACGAATCGTTTCATCCCGTGAGGTAGGTGGTCGTGAGCCACTCCCGTTTTACAAACACATAAAACTCACCGCGAGACCGAAGTACATTTTCACAGAGGTGGTACACAGAAGTGATGGAACCACGGTACCAGCCTGGTCGCATTCTCGTCTTCTAGCACTTCCTTTTGTTCTAGCGCTACTAGAAGGTAGGGAGAACCGACAAATAGTCAAGGAAGTTGTGAAGGACGGTCAGCATTTAACCTGAACAGAAGAATTCGTAAACAGCACGAGAGATACAAAGAGCAGTGGCCATAGAAATATTGAAATAATCTTACATTTCTTATTTTGGAGTCATCTTCCTGCCCTGTTACAATCTCTACGGATGTGTATTTTTCACATCACACCTTGAGGTCTGGGAGATGCTTCGAGGTGCTTACCTTTCACACTACACTGCAGCTGAGATTGTTGGTTTGGTATTATAATTTCGACCGAGTATTTTACAGCTCTTCCCCAGTCGCTTTTTTTTTTTTTTATAAGAAGGCTGCAATAATATTTGCACCATGGCTGTAGTACTTAATTAATGGCTTTAGACTGCTTTGAGGTTCATAGATAAAAATAATAAATGCAGGGTTTATTTTTTTTTTCAGGTGTCATTTGTCACAATAAAACCCAAACTACCAAGGTACAAAAGGACTGTCGTGCCAATTCCTGAAAACTAAGGAGCTGTAGTTTTTGCTAACCTGTTAGGTGTTTCCTTTTTGAAGTCACTAGGATCTTTTAATCCCTCAAGACCTGGGAAACAGCCATTGAGTCCTGGAGGAAAAATTTTCGTTCATTGTCCAAGATGATTAAACATTTACACTAGCATTATATTAGGTAATGAAGCTACAGTATAACATATTCGCTAAAATGAAAAGAAATAAAAAGCCTGGGGACACACTATTTATACAAGAAAAGAGAGCCCATGAAAAATAACAAATACTTGCTGCAGATAAGTCTTAAGGAATTTAAAGTCTGGGTTGGTCATAAAAGCAGCAAGTGAAGGAAGGACTAGCATTGGACTTTGAGGGAAGGAAAATTAGTATAAATAGAGAAAAATGTAGAGGGCATTTCAAACCCATGGACAGTTGGTTGTCAGATCTCCCTAAAAGTTTGTTTAAAATGTTGATCTCCCTAAAAGTTTGTTTTAAAATGGCAGATCTCCCCGAAAAGTTTGTTTAAAATATAGGTAGTCATAATCTGGCTACCATAGCAAGTGTGATAGGAGGACCAATGTATTGGCATCCTCTGCGAGCTCATTAGGAAATACAGAATGTTGGGCCCTCCCTAGTGGCGCAGCGGGTTAAAGCACAGCACTAAGAAGCTTAAGTCACTTCCTCATGAGTTCGATCCCTGCCTGCCCTGGAGGAGATCCACATGGTGTGGCAGACCTCCTGACCCGCCCGCTGCTCCCCTCAGCTGTGTACTTCATTGATCTGCCTGTTCTGTTCCCCCCTCTGTCTCTGGTGAATCCTCTCACCCTCCACATCTCTGGCCTGTACCCCAGTTCTGTGCGAATAAATAAATAAATCTTTAAAAAAAAAAAAAAAAGAAATACAGAATGTCAGGCCCCATCCCAACGCTTCTGAATCAGAATATACTTTTAAGTAAGATCTGATGATAATTTATATGCATATTAATTTTGATAAGTTGTCCTTTATGTAAGTCAATTCAGTTTGAGAAACACTACTGAATCACTTTTAAGAAATGAAATTATGGCCCTCCCTGGTGGCGCAGTGGGTTAAAGCACAGCACAAAGAAACCTAAACCACTTCCACATGAGTTCAATTCCCGCCTGCCCCGGAAGTGACCACATGGCGTGGCAGACCTCTCCTGACCCGCCCGCTGCTCCCCTCAGCAGTGTACTTCGTTGATCTGCCTGTTGTGCTCCCCACTCTCTCTCTGTTGAATCCTCTCACCCTCTGCATCTCTGACCTGTACCCCAGTTCTGTACAAATAAATAAATAAATCTTTAAAAAAAAAAGAAATGAAATTATATAGGGCAAGTATATAAAACAAGAGAAATACAAATTTAAATTCAATCCCAGGGTCAACTGGCCCATACTTTAATTAGCAGGATCACAGAAGACAAATTATTTACTAGAAACATACCCCATGTCTTCAGCATATTGCTTAGGAGTTGAAGGTAACCAAGGAGACCAGGAACTCATCAAATCCAAGAACAGTATTTAAGTGTTTCCAGAAGAGAGAATATAATGATTTTCCCAGTAAGGGAGAGCTCAGAACCTTTAATTTCTGTTGGTGTTTTCCCAGGCGTCATGTATTTTTTTTTTTTTTTTTGTTAAATCTGGCAACCCTAGCTGTGGTTATGATAGAGAATATCCTTCATAGAAAAAAAAAATTAAAAAAAAAAAAAGGCTAAAGAGACTTAAAGCTTATTCTGCCAGAGTGGCCAGAAATTAAAAATTTCTTAATACCACAGATTCCCCACTCCATGAATTCTTTATATGGATGGTACTGGGAAAACAGAAAGCATTTACAACTCTAACACCTGTGTTGTCCAGGAACATAGCAGTCTTGGAAAGTCTGACAACTTTTGCTTTGCATCCCACTTGTAAACTATGACCAGGAAACTTGTTTGAGGCTACGAATCCCAGTGTCTCTATGTTTATTTTACCTCATGGACTTCCCCTCTAGAATCTTGAGAATTCCTTCAAGTGCAACCACTGAGCAAAGCTTGGGACCTCTCTCATTACCCTCTTATTTTACGACTTTAAATATTGAGGAAATTAACATTCTGCTCTGTGAGGCTCTGAATAGAAGCATTTTCTTGTTCACAAAAAATGCTTGTCATAAGCTCTAGCGAGCTCTGTAAGAAAAAAAGTCAAGAAAGGAAGTCAGTATCCAGTAAGCAACTTTCAACTTTTATTCGGAATACATAAATACACCACCAAGGCTGGGCATTCAACAGCAAGCAGTAGTTATCTGTGTGTTAGGGGGGATGGATGCAGATCACACCAGGGATATAGGGAAGTGAGACAAAGAACCTAGGATACAAAATCTAAAGAGTTACTCCCTTTCAGGTTTGTGGGAGTGCAGAATTGGTTTCTGTGAGTGTGCTTCTTTACTTTTTAAAAACAGCTTTATTGAGAAATTGTTTATATACCAAACCATTTTTAACATGTAGTATGTGCATACAAAGCAGCAATTTTATAATGTTTTCAGTATCTCAAAAAGAAATGTCAGACACTTTCCTCTTTGATCTCTTTATCTTCCCACTAATCCCCCTATTGTTATGGGTAGGATCCTGTAATATGTAGTCTTTTGTGACTTCTTTCACTTTGCATTTTTCAGGGATCATCCCTGTTGTAGCTTGTACAGCATTACTTTTCCTTTTGCAGTTGAATAATATTCCAGGATATACTACACTTTGTTGATCTATTTGTCTACGGATTGACATTGAATTGTATCTGCCTTTTGGCTTTATGAATAATGCATTTACACATACTCATGTAGTCTTAATGTGGAAAATATTTTCATTTTTCTTAGTTATAAACCTAAGCTTGGGTATGATGGATTATATGGGAAGTTTATGTTTTACTACTTGAATAACTGCCAGACTATTTTCATAGGGGCTACACCATTTTATTCCCACCAGACTATTTTCATAGGGGCTACACCATTTTATTCCCACCAGCAGTGTATGAAGATTCCAGTTTCTCCACAGATATTCCAACACTTGTTTCACTTTTTGATTGTAGCCAGTTTAGTGAATGTATCTCATGGTGATTTATACTTCACATTTCCCTGATAATTAATGATGTTGGGCATTTTCATGTGCTTATTGGTCTTATGTTGGTGCTTATATATTATCCATGGAAACCAGTTCCATTCTTTGCCCATTTAAAAATATTGGCCATCTTATAGTTACTGAGTTGTTTTTAGGTACGATTTTTTTTTTAAAGATTTATTTATTTGTTCATACAGAACTGGGGTACAGACCAGAGGCTCAGGGGTGGCGAGAGGCTTCACCAGAGACAGAGTGGGGAGCAGAACAGGCAGATGGAGGAAGTACACTGCTGAGGGGAGCAGTGGGCGGGTCAGGAGAGGTCTGCCACGCCATGTGGTCACTCCGGGGCAGGCGGGAATCGAACTCATGCGGAAGCTTCTCAGTGCTGTGCTTTAACCGGATGCGCCACCAGGGAGGGCCTTTAGGTACGATTTTTAAATGTTTCCTCTCATTCTGTGGGTTGTCTACTCATATTGTTGATGGTATCCTTTGAAGCACAAAATTTTTAGTTTGATGAAGTCTAATTTGTTTTTAATTTTGTTGTTCATACTTTTGATGTCATATCAGAGATTCCTTTACCAAATTTAAGATTATGGAGATTTACCCTTGTTATCTTTGAAGAGTTTAATAGTTCTAACTTTTATATTTAGGTCCTTAATTCATTTTTATTTTACTTTTGTATTTGGTGTGAGAAAAGACTTTAGCTTCATTTTGATGCCTGTGGCTATTCAGTTGTCCCAGCACCATTTTTGAAAGAACTATTTTTTCCCTGTTGGAC